TAACATAACATAACATAACATAACATAACATAACATAACATAACATAACAAATGTAGTTCTAACTGCCCTTAGGAAATAAAGAACCTTCTACCAGCCTTTCTGCTGGCTGATACATTCTGTTAAGATTTAGAGGTGCTTGGAAGATGTTTAGGTTGTATGTCCACTGTATCAGCACAGAATGAACTAGACTTAATTTCTTCCAACAGTCCCTGGAGAAATTGTGAGTTTTTTCCCGTTCAGCTCTTTTTTCACCTGTCCCTTTCTACCTGCATACCTATTCAGTTCTCAATAGATAGTCTAGGAGAACTCTAAGCTTCCAAATGTGTCAGGTCATATCCTTTAAATTGGTAATATCTGTACACGAATGGAGGAGTGTGAGTGCATTAATGTGGATGAGGTGTGTAAGAAGACATCCGCAGCTTATGAATTGAGGGAAAAGTAGTGTGGCTGTCTGGAATAAGGATAAACTAATACATATGTTTCACTGATTCTGTTGCTATTATATCATTAACTAAACCATTTTTAAATTTTCTTTTACTTAGAAGCTTGATTTTCTATTTAAAAAAAACCCCTTATTTTTGTTAGGTATAGCTGTGGGTTCTGTTTATACAGAATGGATGCCTCCAATATAAAGAGTCACCCATTGGGGGAGATGGACAGCATACAAATTTAATAAATAAGTAACGAGTGTTCTTCCTCTTGTAAAATGCAGCTCCAAGGCAGTGCCGTATATGTGGAGGACTTGCAGTGTATGAATGTCGCGAGTGTTATGAAGATACAGACATTTCTGCTGGCAAAATCAAACAGTTTTGCAAAACTTGCAATACGCAAGTAAGTTCTTCCAAAAAGTCCTAGGAATTTGCTGGTAGGCACGTTTTTGATTGGCAGTTGCTGTCTTGTGTGAGAACTGGGTTCTTTCAGAAAGTGTCAAGAATGAAGTTCGCTTTGCTAAAAGTTTATCCTCTCCGTCCCTTCTAGGTTCATCTTCACCCCAAAAGGCAGAGTCATAAATTCAATCCAGTGTCACTCCCAAAAGACTTACCGGACTGGGACTGGAGGCACGGCTGCATACCTTGTCAGAAGATGGAGCTCTTTGCTGTTCTTTGTATAGAAACAAGCCACTATGTGGCTTTTGTTAAATATGGCAAGGAAGATTCCTCTTGGCTCTTTTTTGATAGCATGGCTGATCGGGATGGTATGTTTTCTCATTTGGCTTTTGTGAACTCTCAACTGCTAGCCTAGTGCTTAAATTACTGAACTTCATAGCACTTAACACCTATCTTGAGACTCCCCCAGGTACTACTGTTAGTTAGAGCAAGACACAAAAATACAGTGTTTCAAATGTGGATGTCGTGGTTGAAGCAATGTTTCCCAGTCTTTCAGGATATGTTAGAAAACAGCTTCCTGAATTTCTAGCTAGTATGACTGTAGGGCACCTTGTTGGGAAAAGCTAGGTTAATGTTGGAGACTAGGGCCAGGGATAGAAAAAATTGAATCTCTGCTCAACTATGGAAATTCCAAGAATTATACATGAAGGGCGTTTGGAGGGTGGCAGGGTATGGAAAGTTGAAGGAGATAATGTAATGTGAAACTCATTTGGTTTATTCTGAAATGGATAATTTTGGACTGAATTTGGATATTAAATTGCCATGAAGTAGAATGCTTCTTACCTTTCGATTACATGCAGATGCCATAATCTCGGAACAACATAGTTTGGGTTGTCTTGTTTTCCTCCTGGGGTAATCCATGTATTGTCTCTTCTCTTTCAAGGAGGTCAGAACGGCTTTAACATCCCCCAAGTGACTCCATGCCCAGAAGTTGGCGAGTACCTGAAAATGTCTCTCGATGAATTGCACTCTCTGGACTCAAGGAGAATTCAGGGCTGTGCCCGAAGACTACTTTGTGATGCTTATATGTGCATGTATCAGAGCCCAACGATGAGTTTGTACAAGTAAACGTCGATGACTAGTAAGAAGGGAACATCTTCCCAGTTACTTGACTGTGACCCAAGAAAGCTCAACAGAGCTGTCGGCTCCTCTGCTTGTGCATCTGTTGCTGGCAATGGATGCTTCAAAGGGCGTGGAAATCAAATAACTAGAAAGAAGAAGCAAATATTTTAAAGGGGGAAAGAAAGGATTCTACAATATGGTGTTTTGTTGCTAAATACTTGAGTATTTTGCACTCTTGGAAGTGTGCGTGTGTGTTTTTTTAAATAAAAAGTCTAAATGAAGCGATTGCAATGTTTAGGCTGTGTTTCAGAGAAATTGCCTACGTAGGGTGAAGGTTACATCCCCTGTGGAATGTTCGGCTTAGATCTGATTCAGGAAACTACACAGCCTAAAGGGAGACGACTACATTTTGGAGTTTGTAAGTTTCTCAGCATTGTACCCCTTGCGTCTGTAAGACAGGGCTTTGACCTGCACCTTGGCACCAAGGCTTTTGCTTCTTATTTTGACCTGGTATAAGTTGAAATCAAAAAACAAAACATCTCTAGTGCGCTGAGTGAGTGTATAAATGCAGATGCTGTATGATCACCCCACAGCGTTGCCCTGGACCAAGAATGCTCATTGTTTGCTTTGTAGCAAATGGGGTACCTTCCAGGAAAAGGAAATAATTACTCTGCAACCTTGCAGTGGTACTTACGATGAGCTCCAGAAGTCGAAACTTCTCATCAGATTACACAACTGCCTAAGCTCTGTTTCGTGAACTTGATGCCATTTGTAAGGTCATTTCTGGCAATGAGTGGATGAGCCAGTGTGATGTCTTTCAGTGGACATGCCCATCTTCAAGGCTATTCTGAAAGGCATTCCACTGCTGTCTTCAAGCTTGATTTCCATAATGGAAGAATCCTGAAAACTTGCTTTTTTAAATGAGTTTTGGAAACTTTTCAGCATGTTTTCTGCATGCCTGCTCCTTAGGGATCTTGGTCAATTTTTTCAGAAACTACCCAATTACTTGGAAGTTCTGATGTTAACATCCTTTCCTCCAGTGACAGTCAAAAGACCACCTGACAGCTTGCAATTCAGCCGTGGTAAATAGGCGATGAGATAAATTCATATTGGTTCAAGAGCTGCAGTAGGGATATTAAAAAACACTCTCTTAAATTATCTTTCTGTGTTCTGTTAGATAATAGTTTACATGTTTGCATGCTTCTGCATCTAAAGGGCAAATCTGGATTACACAAGAAATCCAGTCTACTAATGGATTTGTTTCACAGTTTTGACAGAGGGAAAATGAGTCAAGTTTAATTTCACCAGGATATTCTTTGCTGTTTCACTATCTGTGTAGTCTGCCTTTTATGCTTATAGTCTGTTCACCCATGTGGGACTTTTAGGTGCTGTGTGTTGTTTGGGTGAGTTTGACAGTGTCTGCAAAATAGAATTGTGAGGGCAGTATTCTGCATATCACAAATTTTGGGATGAGTGTACCCCATAGACACCTATATGTAATAGTAGCAAGTTTAAGACCCCAGTTGCTAGTTGTAATTGTGCATTTATTTTTTTGCCTCAGGGAATGTCATGGAAATGAAATCTGTCATCTATTAAATGGAAGGTGATAGTTGGATTTTTCAGTTTCGTGCTTTAGAAAATTGCTTACACATTTATCATCTCAAAGGATTATATTGAGCCAATGTGTAGTTAAATAATTTGACTTGCTGTTCAATTCATGCAAAAAATCACTTGCTTGTTTGAAGTATTCAATGTTGTATTGAATATTTTTATGAACTGTAAGTGTAATAGCTTTCTGCAGTATGGAGGAAGATCCGCTATTGTTGCTTTAGGTATCTTTTGAAAATAAGAGCAACTAAAGGCATATCTGATGTGGGAGAAAACCATGGATGATGTAGAACAAAATGGATTGTATGGTATGAAGTAGATTTTTTTTAAGAAAAACCTCAGGATGGATTGTAGGTAGTGAAAGTCTCTAAGATCAGCTTGCTGTAGAGAAACTGATGGAGAGAGTAATTAGGCAATTTCAGCCTTTTTTCAATGATTTCTAATTGCACGGCAGGGCTTCCAACTCTTTGCATTAATTCTCATTTGTATAACTCATGGTTGTATGTTCCTCTTGTTCCTCCTTATCCTACTTTTTCTTTGAACATTCATGGGAACTCCACGCATCAGAAGATGTTTGGGAAATTCCTGAAGGGAGGAAGTTGTAGATTGAGAGCAAGTAGGGTTGGGCTCCACTTGGCTGAAGTGAAAGGAAAATGGGGACCTTGATGGACAATAAGAGGATGAAGGAACATGGGCAGGTAATCAGCAGTAATTGAAACCCATGACAACTGACTGAAAGAGATACCGATCAGAAAACAAGCTCCATAAATTGTCAGGTTGCGGGGGTGTGGAGAGAGAATAAGGACAGGAAGGAATTCGTATGTGATGTGGAGTCATTCTCAATCATGTGAGGATGTGGCTTCAGTCCTTGAACAAATTCTTAGGGGGAGGTGGGAGCTGAATAAAACAGGCCAGGAAAGATGGTGGCCAGCTGAATCTGGGAACTGCCTCCTTTAAAAGCATCACCTTTGAGGTGGTGTGTGAGATGCATCTGTGATGATTTTGATTTATAATGGTCTCTTCCAGCCGCTTTCTGACATTGCAGTCTGATGCAGGGTCTCTGCTGATGATGGACTCTCCCTTTTGAATGTGCGGTGCAATAAAGAACATGTGGCAATTGCTCTCAGTTATCTTCTTGCCCATTCTATTTCCTTTTTAGTTTCATCCATTGTGATTTTGGCATTTTGATGCTGTGCTCTAAAATGTCTCCTGTGTTACTGTAAAAAGTCAACTTGAAGCCATTGCCCTGCAGAAGGAATCTCAATAGGTGTGAAAGTGTTTCATATTAGATCATGTTTTCACTTCCACGCAGACTTTGGTGTGTAAGCAAGACATAAAAGTGTTGTCTTTGGGTTTCCCGGGGCTGAGATTGTTACGGAAGAATAGTGCTTGAATCAATATGAAAGCTGAATTGGATTTTTATCTTGACTTAAGCTGCCTCTTTGGAGGTTTGGGTTTTATTTATTCTGCCATTGTAACAAAATATGTTCTGCATTGGCTTGCACAGTTTAAAAAAAAACAAAAATAAACATTTTGTGATTGAGTGCAGTTGTCTCCTCAATAGAGTATCTCTACTGAGAGCTTAGGAAATCTTTCAGATTGCATACGTGAAGCCTTAATTTTCCTCAGAAGAGGAAAGAAACTGTACCATATATTATTTCTGTACTAATATTTATTAAACTCATCATTTTTACGGCTATCTCATTTATTTGGAGTACTAGAAAGGGATCCAACGTTTGAGGAAGAGTGATGATAACCACATTAAATATTCTGTGCTTTACAATACTTTTGGAGGTGGGGGGATGTTTTGTATATAGTATAAGAGAAAAATGTGATTATATAATTCAAGAACCTTTAGACTTAAGCATGCAGACCTGATAATTATAGCCTAAAAACTTGTTTATGCTAAATCGTGTAATGGGTTATCCTGTTTGTACATACCTGTGCGTTGGGTTTGGCATTTTGAAGGACTCCAATGTCCAAATAAAATGACTGGAATTCCTTAGCAGAGGTCTTACACAAGACCTGATATGTTCCCAAGAGGAGTCCTCCAAAATAAGGAACTTTACAGAGAATTTAAGAACATGTTTTTTGTTCAAAATGTTAAAAAAGTTCTTCATTAGAACAGAATGGCCTAGTATTACATTTAAAGTTGCTATTTTCAGCTTTGGCGCCTTTCATAAATAAGAATAATCAGTATGTCCCATTCCATGGAGAATGGGAAAAGGGGCAAACTTAGCTTCTAGTCATTGTAAGGTGGACAGGTTGGTGGACTCATTGCTTGACTGAGACAGTACAGATAGTCCACAATTAGACAGGGGAGAACATTGCTCTACCCCTGGCCCAACAAAGTTGCTTACATTGACACACAAACCTGAAGTTGCATATCTTGCTACTGCCCGACAAATTTTAATGCCCTTATTACACACTCTCAGCACCATTTTCAACTCTAGGTTTCTAAGCGTGGCTTTACTGAAAGCAAACCATTTTTAATTCCTTTAATTATCTCGATATTTGAAAGAAACCTTGTGTTCAATTTTGTTAACTACTAGTTTGGGTTATATATGCTCCAGATGCCACCTTGTGGAAGCAATACACAACTGCTGGCTGGTTATTATCCCCCCCCCATTTAAAAGAAAAGGGGGGGGGGACACTGGAATGCTTCGTAGTAGCATTTGGAATGCAACTGCACCATGTTAATTTTTCTAAATGCTAACTAATTTGTTCGCATATACCCAGATGTTGTACATATTCAAGCAGGACAGTAGTATAATTACTGGGTTTTTAAAAAATGGATTCAAGGATTTTAGTGCGTGACACAATTGCATTTTTATTTCATGCTTTTTCAGTAAGGGTAGCATAATGAAATACCATTAGCTGATTAAAATATTTTACACCCTGGTTGTACTCGTGAAGCAATGAGCTAGTGTCTTTATGATAAAGTGAATAACCTACTAGCTCAACATTTCTATACAGCACTTTAAAGCATTGAAAGCGCATAGCTTAGGACATTTTGTTATCTGTGGAAATGAAGTATATGGGGAGATTAGAACTGCAATTGCCAGAATGTAGCTCTGTTTGGTGCTGGTAGAAACTTGAGACTTCTTTGGGCCAGTTTATGAGTTCATAGTGAACAGAAAAATGTGAATTGAAGACTTTGTGATTCAGACTTAATTTGAAATTCATACTTAACTATGGATCAGCTCACTGAACTCGTTGGATTACTTCTATGGAGACATTAGACTATGCACATAACAGTGTGTATTTCCCTTATTCTTCATCACAGATTGGACAGGAGAAGGGGAAATAGAGAGTAACAAAAATGCTACTTTTGAATAAAGTAGAAGTAATAATTTATGCTTGAAAATAAAAATTGCAGTTGAACTCTCAATATGATCCACCACTATTTGAGCCTAGCCTTTGATAACTCTTGTTAACCTCAGATAATCTTTCCCTATGACCAGTAGGAGGCAAGCAATACCAAATAATTTCCTGGAAATTTCTCCATGGCATATGCTTCCAGATTTACTTTATACTGCCTTGACAAGAGTTGGAAAGGTGGTTTTCTGGAAAAACAAGTTTTTTTCTTTTTTAAAAAAAATTGAATTTATTCTGAGGGGAAGTATTGACTTTCAGTGAAAGGATGGTTGGGGTGAAGACTTCCTCACCCATCCTTTACTCCCAAAGGAGTCTAATGAGTTAGCAATACTGTAGCAAAAATCTTAAATGAAAGCATGACTAATAAATACCAAAAGCATAGTAACAAACTTAAAGGCAGCCAGCTTCTGCTGTAGTTCTTATCCTATAAATGCTTCAGTGAATAGGCATGTCTTCAGCTCTTCTGAGGACAGGGTGAGGGTCAGCTGAATTCTATCAAGAGAGAGTTCCAGAATTGGGTGCTGTCAATGAGAAGGTCCTATTTGATCCTACTGCATTGTAAAACAAGTAGGGCCTTCCCAGGTGACCGTAATGCACAGATGTTTTTAAGATATTTTGGAATTAGCAATTTTGAAGTCTACCAAGGAACAACAGAACAAAAATCCTTGTTTGCCTATTCTTGACCTTGAGAAAAAAACCTGTTGGGTTGAGTAGAGATAGTTGTATTTTGAGAGTGTATTGGGGGTATAGGCAATCACAAAATGCTAATTTATGGTGAGGTTTCCCATCAGCTCACCCCCCCGATGTTCTTTACCATTCCAGTTTACTTTTGTAAGCCCCCCCCCCGCCATTTTGGTTTTCAAAGTCCTTATGTGGTCAGAAGAGTATGCTATGAGGGTAAGGATTATGCTAGGGGCTGGCACTTCACTTTACAGTATATCAACTTCCTTTTTTTTTAAATCATAATATTAAAGTCAGATGGGTCTAATTAAGAGGTGAGCTATAGTTTTGAACTTGGTGGCCAAGTTCAAAGTTAATATTTTTGGGAGGTTTAGAGCATGTTGGGGTGGTGTGGGGGGATAGTGATGTAAAATGGGCCAGGCAGTGTCATGTATGTGTAGGGCTCTGATTCTTCCTCCACTCCAGGATTTTGGAGAGGGTTTTTAATTGAAGAAAATATTAAAGTAGGCTCATATTCACAGTTCTGTCTTTTATACCCACAAATGACAGGAAACTTCCATTGATTCCAGAGGCACAAAAAAAGAAAAGGAAGATTGGGATCGCCCCATCTTCAGTAGCCACCAAAGAAGTCATTGAGAGTTCAGCTCTCGATTTTTGTAATACCAGGAGGGGGGAAAGATAATGAGTTTATTTATAACTGTTGAAAAGAAGATTGCAGGTGGCTTATTTATTTTATCTTGTTTCTTTAACTACCTTTGTTTTGCTTTCTGCACTTTTTCCTTTCTTGCTTTCTTCATATTTTTCTTTTACCTACATGCAAAATGTTAATAAAAATCAAATATATCTTAAAAAGAGAGAGTTCAGCCTCTCTACTAACTTAGTCTCTCTCATGTGTTGGATTTAAAAATGAAAAAGCAAGGGGCCATTTAGCCATGTAATTCAAATTATTTGCTTAATAATTCCATGTCCTCTCATCCCTGATTTGGTTTTTCCCATTAGGCTGAGCAACAAGTATTGTTCATGATTACATTTGTTTGAATATTTATAACTCGCCCAGAATCTATAGATTTCAGCTTGAGTTACAATCAATAAAAAGAATAACGCAAGAAAACATCATAGAATCAATCTGCCTAACAACAAAATGTTACCAAGAGCCAAAGACTTGGGTCTTTATTTTGTCGCATAGCCAAACCAGTCTGCACCAGCAGTAAGTTATAACTGCACATGTATCTGAAGCTGCTATCTTAGATCCATTACTTGAGAAGAAACCTCATCAAATTAAGTAGATTTGACTAGATATAAACAGGACTGCTTTATAAATTATACTTGGGCTTTTTCCCCTTCTAGACAGAGACTGAAGAAAACCCACCTTAAACCAAAGGTTGGTCACTGACATCTCAAGATCACAGGAACCCTTAGATAAATTTTATACGTTTCTTCAGGATAATATCAAAAGCCCTCTGTGAGAGACCAGATCAGAGCATTCTTGAGAGTTATCAAGAATTTGGGCAGAAGAGGAGAAAGTTTCAGATAACTAACAGGGAATCCTCTTTTGTTTCGGGCTGTGCTTGCTTCAGCCCTGTCCATCAGGTGCCACCCAGACAGATCACCTTGGGGGAATTTGGCTCTTGATTTGGAGAGGGGAAAAAAATGGCCTTTTAATAAAGTCATTTGCTTGCCATCCAAACGTCTGGCAGGCAGAAGCATCCGGAGCAAAGCCAGTTGGCTGAAGGCCCTCCTGGAACTGAAGAATTGAAGCTAATTAACCAGAGGGGAGGGATTTGAAGGACCAGCCTCAGAAAGGAAAGTGGTTTCAAGATGAAAGGTAAATTTCCAAAGCTGACTCATGGGTAAACTCCTGGATTGCCCCTTTTTTTTGTTGGTTCCTGTCCAGACAGGTCTTTTCTGGTCCCACTGACTGAGTTCAGTCAATTGTTGATAGAACCTGAGGTTCATCTTTATCCACTGAGCTACAGATTTCATCTTACTCTGTTTGTATATGACAAACATCTGTACAACAATGACTCATATGATAAGGTAGACGTTTTGGTTGGTTCGCTTTTCAGTTAGCGTTGCAAGCAAACAGATGTGCTTCCAGGTGGCAGCAGCTGAAGGCTTTTTAAGAGGTAAATCTCAGGGCATTGTGGAAAGTCTAATCTCAAAAGTTTCAGGTGGGAAACTGGCTGGTGCTAGAAGTAGGATTTAGATGACACAGCTATCCACTGTGCATGGATATGTCAAATGTCAGACATATCTTCCTGCTGCTTTTCAGTTCCTAAAAAGTTTTATGTGTGAGGTCCACCTTGCAACTATTGGCAAATTCCTGCATCTTTGGGGGCATAAAAAAAGGAACAGATCCTTCATATAGTGCCATTTTGGATGGGCTATGCTATTGGAGTTCTCCTGTTACAACTCTGGCCAAATATTCCCTAGGCTTTCCAATTTTTTTAATGGAGACTGATTTTTCCAGAGATCAGAGAACTGCCCTAGTAAATTTGAGGTGGTCATCATACATGATGATGAAGATTTTGTAGCAGATCCAGTTCTGACTTATTAGTGTCTTGGGGAACTTCTTCCTCAGCTTGAGAGGATATGATTAAGGCAGATCAATGCTCGATA